GAGCTAAAGAGGTATTTAATGGACAAGGCATTTCCTGCTGATGAGCTAGATGTTAACAAGAGCAGCTGTACAGCAAGCAATTTCTTTCTCCACCACACACTGTATTAACTGTGCAATCCAAAAGCAGTGCTCTACTTTGTCAGACAAGGACAGCAGTGTCATGCTAAGGGTATAATGCAGAACTTTAAAGCTCTTGAGGGGTTTTAAATTTTTTTTTACCCTGGCACATTTTTTTTCTTGCATTTGTACAATTTTTTTTTTACGTGATATGAAGCTTACTTACAAAAAAGTCATCAAGAAGCTGCAATATGAAGACTGAAGGACAAGAAAGAACAATATTGATGGTACTACTGATTCCTCTTGGTACAGTGGGATGATAAGTAGAATAAAGTGGCTGCAGAAAAGAAGTTTACTGATGGGCATTGCCCAGTTCTATCAAATTTCTGGAATATGGAGGGTGTGTGAGTTTTTGACTCTCTATATGATTTTCCCAGATTTACTAATTACACTTGGTATATATTTATGACTGTATTTGCAATCAACAAGAGCAAAACAATTAATAAAGGAAAAATTTTTTCTGTATGAATTTTTGCACATCACTTCTTCATGTTAATTCTACTGTGAAAATGGCATTAGGTCTATTTTCCCCTCTTCTCTACACATTCATTGTTGAATTATAGGGCTGTAATTTTTTCCCCTGGACCAATGTTTCCCACTGCAATCAAGTTATTTAACCAAATTCCCTTAGTGCAAATTGTAACTTATTTTTAAATATTCTTGTCTATTGTTAGCACCAATTTATCTGTTAAAATCAGATGACAAAACTTTGATGTTTAAGAAAAACATATCCAGTTTCTCAGAAGGTTGCCCAGTTTCACTTCAGGGGGAATAATTTCTTGAGCTAGGATTGCTATGTATGAAAACCTGGGAAAATCAGCTAAAGACCATGGAATTTGTACAGTGTAGCATCAACCAGTAGGTGAAAATGGGAAACCCTGTGACTGCTCTTTGCCTTTCCGGCTCTGTCTGTGTCTATAGATCCACATTATAAATTAGCTGTTCTGGAACACACCTGAAATTTGTTAAAAGAATAACATCAATGCTTTAATTTTGGATTGTACATAAAACATAACCTAGCACAAGAAACAGTAGTGGGAAACAATGGCACCATTCCCCTGTTGTTTTATTTTTTCTAACAAAACATCTACAATTCTCATCTTCATGGTGTTGTTTTGTTTTCTATCCATGAAAAGCTGAACCTGAAAAACAGTAAAATTTTGCTTGTGTTTCATATTAATATCCCTACACTGCATGAAAATCAAATAATTTTATTTGAAAATTTCATTGCAAGGCTCATGTAAATAAAAGACATGAGCAGTTCATGGCCTTCATCTTTTTCTGGGTCAGAAAACATGATGGTGCCCAAAACTATTTGGGTCTTCACCTGAGCATGTCCTACCCCCACTCCCTTTCCTCTGATGTGCTTGGTCCCAAATTAAATCCACCAGATGGGAATTGCAAGAGGAAATCTCTGGATGGTCACACAATAAATGCATTCAAGAAATTGGGGAGCTGAAATGTTTGCATTGACATCAGCCTCCACCATTCTGCAAGACTAGAGATCTGAATCTGCTCATATTAGAACCCTCTAGAGAATATAATTCTTTGTATTAGACACTAAAGTTCATGTTACTTTGCTGTTAAGAAATAACTTATTTTGACAAACAATTTTGGCAAACAATTTTCCTGGAACATTAGCCAAAAGTAATTTTCTTATTAATATATTACCTTCATTAAAGAGGTTGTGTATTATCTGCTAGAATCTTAGCATGGAAATTGAGAGATTGTCCTTGCAACTCGTAATCAAGGTAATATTGTGCCAAAATGTGAATCATCTTCCTTATTTTTATATGGTGAAGAAATATTTTCCAAGATGCTCACACAGAGAGTAATGGATTTACTTTATAGTTCATTATATTTTCCTTTCTAGAAATATCTAAGTTGCTTATCCTCTTATTAGCATACATTCTGAACAGTGTGCTAAATACTATGCTGAGGTTAGATAGTTGGTCATTATCACTGATCTCTTGACAATAAGACCACGGGTGATATGTTACATTGAGAAATTGCAATTTGATGAGCTGCTAAGTATTTTTTCTTTTTTTCTTTTTAATTTTTTTCTAATTTTCTTTTTTCTTTTTACAAAAGAGAAAATACGCCTAATAGAAGAAGTAGCTGAATAATGCTCTCAGGCACTGGGGAGGATTTTTGGGATGTCCTGTGTAGGGCTAGATGGACACAGTGATCCTCATGGATATCTTCCAACTAGAAACATTCTGTGATCCCATGCTTCTATGAACAGTATTTAAAAAAAAAAAAGAAAAAATCCACTTTTCAGGGTGGTACATTCAGTAAGCAGTATGTATAGGCATCAAGGCAATCCATCCATATATATATCCATGTATCCATCCATCCATCCATCCATCCATCCATCCATCATCCATTCATCCATCCATCCATCGTCCATCCATCCATCATCCATCATCCATCCATCCATCCATCATCCATCCATCCATCCATCCATCCATCCATCCATCCATACATCCAATATCATCCATCCATCCATCCATCCATCCATCATCCATCCATCATCCATCATCCATTCATCCATCCATCCATCATCCATCCATCCATCATCCATCCATCCATCCATCCATCATCCATCCATCATCCATTCATCCATCCATCATCCATCCATCCATCCATCCATCCATCCATCCATCCATCCATCATCCAT